CTTCCCATCATTACGCATAACATTGGTCTGAAATTAATTTCTCCACATTTATCTCGTAACTTTTTCATACTTTTAATTGCATAGTCTTTAAAAAAAATCACTTTTTTACAAAATTAATTACAAAATTAACTTCACAAAAGGGCATAAAATCTTTGATAATTTTTCACACAAACAAAGTAATCGACACAAATCATGTCAATAAAATTTACTAACTATTGATAGATTCTCTTCGACGAATATGCTTATCATTAATAGTAAATCGTCTATCAACTAGTTATAAATGGTCAAGAAAGTTGTCAAAATAATTTCTCGATCTCACAATTACTATTTCTTCTCATACCAACTTTCTCATTTCACACACTTCGAATATTTTTATTTGCTTCTTCTTTGCATAGTATTTTTCCGTATGTATATATTCCCTTTTGAGATTATGGGGCAAATGAGGCAAAACTCCATCAATACAAAGGTTTTTTTGTGTTTTTTTTTTTAATTTTTTTTTTATGATTTTTGACACTTAAATCTGATTTTTTGTCGAGTTGCATAAGTTAAATGTCGAACTTGGGCTCAAAAGGGCAACCAACTCAACCCACTAACATGTAACTAGATGAAAGCTAATCGAGATCTTTATAAATGTGTTAATAAAATTATGATCTATTTTCGAGGAATCTCTTTATTAAATTAGAACATGTCTTTTGTCGAACTAAATGTTCTTCTACTATCAAGTATTGTTTTCTACACTAAAAATTGCTCGGATCGAGTCGACTCCTTCAATTTAAGCCTCGACTTTATTACCTTATCACATGATTTTTTTTTTTTCTTGAAATAGGCCCAAGTTATTGATTCTTTTTATTTTAAAATATAATGCATGATAGATGGATCTATGATATTGAGAAGAGAAACAATTTTGTTAACTGTTAATCTTTTAAAGATCTCAAAAGTAATCACTTACTCAACTTGTTAATTGTTTGTTCAACTTTCAAGCATGAATGGAAAAAATAATAATAATAATAATAACAATAATAAAGAAAAAATGAACAACCCTTTCAAGCATGACTCGAATTTAGATCATCCGCCATGAAAACCAAAAGTTTTTCAATTATTTATAAGCAATAGTTAAAAAAAAAAAATGCACAACTAAATATATATATAAATATATATGTTAATCTTCATAATTCACTAATTTCTTGAAATTCATTCTAAAATCGTCTCTCCTATAAATTTTATGTTATGAGCTCAATTTAAACTACAATAAGTTTGAACAAACAAAAACTTAGGCCAAAAATGAAAATTTGAAAAGTAAATAGCAGTTGATGATTATGAATTTAGTTAAAGTAGAATCACCTTGATATCGTATTAGTTGTTATTTAACCCTCGTTTGTTTCTCATTTTTTGAAGAATGAGAATGAGAAATATAGCTGTTATGGACTCTACACAAAAGATAGAAATTCAAATTTGGTGGCTTGATATAATGAATAACGATCATATTTTTCATTTTAATGAGGAAATAATTGAAAACAAATGGGGACTTGATATTAGTTTACTTACCTTCTCAACTGAAAAAAAAAAAAAAAAAAAAAAAAAAAAA